ACATGCACATGCACCTGCACATGCACATGCACATGCACATGCACATGCACATGCACATACACATGCACACACACATACACATACACATACACATACAAGTACACATACCCATACGCATACACAGACACATACACATACATACACATACACATACACATACCCATGCACATACGCATGCGCATACACATACACATACACATACATACGCATACACATGCACATACACATGCACATACATACATACATACATACATACATACATACATACATACATACATACACATGCATGCATGCATGCATGCATACATGCATGCATACATACATGCATACATACCTGCATACGTACATGCATACATGCATACATAGTTAAGTACATACATAAGTACATGCATACGCACATCGTTCATACATACACACATACACACAAACACACACACACACACACACACACACACACGCACACACGCACACACACACACATGCTAGCCCAGACGATTGGCACGCTTTCCGCCTGCACTAAACAAACCTCGATCCCCAGCCCAAGTGCTAGAGCTAGCTTAAGCCAAGGCACTCAGCCTTAAAGCTAACCCTTGGAGCCCAAAGAAACCTGAACCCTTAACCCTAAGTTGGCACCCCGTTTAGGGTGTAGGGTTTATAGGATCTAACTCAGGTCAGCTCTCCGTGGTTTGCAGAACTTCGGCCGTAACACACAGGCATCTCAGCGCTTGATGCCTGGCAAGCTGAGAACTGTGCAGTTAGGCCGGAAAGTTCATTGACGGTTAAGGCTTCAGGAACGGGGTTCGATCCTTGAGGGGATAAGTTTAGGATCCAGGGCCATCTTAGGGCTTGCAGCTTTTGGCTATTGGGAGTGGGGTAGGGGTTTTGGGGTCTTTGATCCCAGCCCACGCCCCTCGATCCAGAGTATGACGTTTTACTGTCTTGCTTCGCATCTTGCTGCCTGAGGATGGAAAAACTATGTGACTTCGCGGGGCAGCTTGCTGCACGCCATTTGCAGTTTTGCCGCAATTTGGCTTTGGTATGTGCAGTCTTTTTTCAATCATGAAAAACGCGCAGGCTGTTGAAAATCGACGTGTGCTTGCTGTGAAAACAACAGTCTTTGCAGCGATTAAACCCGGATTTGAACCCTATAAACTCTAGACCCAAGCACGCTTCTAATTATAAATCAACGGCGGAAATACTTGCAAGCTTTGAGCTCGATGGGAGGCTGCTCTAAGTCGTGGATGATGGAGCACGAAAAGAACATTCTGAGGGTTGTCGTCTCGAAGCCCCAAACCCTACATACAGCCTAAACCTTTTAAGCGAGATTTCTGTATGGTGTCGAGGAGCAATCCGAAGACGCGAGTCTGTATATACTAAGGCAGTGTCGCTTGAGTATTGCATAATTGAAAATATAGATATAGGCTTCAATAATTTCCATCATGATTCCTTAGGTTTCCTTGTATAATTAGTTATAGTATAAGATTCCCCCAAACCCTATTCCAGCCGACATTTGTCAAAACCTTCGAACGAGAAAGCGACGACACTGCAAACAGACCAGCCTCTGCCCTCAGCCCCCAAATTTTTGCGAGAGTTGAGATTAGGGTTTAGGGTTTAGGGGAGACCCTAAATCCTGAAGCCCAAAAATTTGGAAATTGTAGCGTGGCGAGGTTGCAGAAGTCTTTTCTGCCGGAGCAGGCGCAGATGCTAGATCTACCGACAGATCAAGGCCATTGTCTCAAAGAGGGAAGCCATCCTATTGGGCTCGTAGCATTCTGAGAGCTTGACTTGCTGTTTGCTGTTTCATTGCGAACTGGCGGCGTAAGCCTGCTCCAAACGCAGGTTACATCAAAAACCTTTCGTTGAGTCAGTGAGCAGACAGAAATCGGTCAGTCATGGAAACTTTGTGTCTGGTTCTGGATGCAGATTGCAATGCATGAGCATAGCTGACTGCATTGATACCGCAGCGAAATCCGCGAGATCCTGTTGGAACGCATGCTTGGGGCTGGCGGAATGTTAAGTTTGCAAAGCACATGCCAAACCGAATCCTGCTAAGGTCGTTCCTTCCGATTACTGAAAACCTGGGGTGAAGAGCTGGTGATCATTCCTTGTCAGGCTGGGCACATGCATGTGCATGTGTGTGTGTGTGTTGTTTTGCTTGCTTGCTTGCTTG